ACTTTTATGTTTAAAACCAAGATGGTGTGAGTTAATTTGGACACCTCAGGAAAGGCAGATAATCATTTCAGACACTATTTTGTTCTAGAATGTTGAAACGGATGTGATCACCTTGATTAGGAATGTTTATTGCATGGGTCATGTAAGGTCTGACTTGGGTCAGAACCTGTTTCCATTTTATCTTTGGTAGCAGGATGAGTAGCATCGCCCACAGGTGCTGAAGAAATATGTCTTCTGTGAACTCGTCAGTACCGGTGGAACAGAAGGCTGTGGGGGGACAATCAGAAGTGATTTACCCAAAATATAATTCCACCAATCACGATTTATTTCTCCAAGCTATAATAATATTGACCTTTATTAGAATGCCATGTTAACTGCATTATGATCAATAGGTATTACTGCTCAATTAAGTGCAAATATTCCAAGAAGGACACTATAGAGGGAACACACCTGAGTGCATTTACTGTAGAAACACGCAGGAATACACAGGCATCATGGAAGAAGAGTCTGACTTTACTGAGGAGAAAAATGATGCAGGATCTGAACACTGCTTTGAGTAGGATGTACCAGCAAGTCCTGAGGGATTTCGGGTTTTCTCAGTTTGTTTCAGAGGGCCAATTCCTATAGAACTATATTTAAAGAGTGGTGATTACTGTGTAATCATTTCTCCTCCTGAGCTTGGGCTAGGTCTTCTTTCATGGAATGGCAACTCCAGAAGACCAATATAGAAGCTGATGCTATCATTTGTGACTGTTTTCTTGGACAGAAAGTGTAGGTAAATTAAGCAAATGTCAGGAAAACACATAGTTAAGATTTTTTTGTGATTTCAAAATACAGCAGAGATAAAAACATTCATTTAAATTTATAGGTAGTTATAGTTTCAGTGAAAGTACCATTTCAGCTTCAACATGGGAGAAAAACAGGACAGGATTTTTTTTTTTTTTTCACAAATAGAAATGTCTTCCCATGGCACTAACTACATACTCATGGTTCAGGAATGAATGTGGAGAACTACGGTCTAATATCCAATATAAAGTGACCTGGAGTCTGACCTCAGTACTCTAAAAGCATAGTGAATAATCACAGTTGTCAAGACTCAGTTCTTCACAGAGAATGAATGAAGGAAAAGCTGTGTATCACCTTGGCTATTGCTTAGTGCTCAGTTTTGTGTCAGTTAGTATTAATTAATTAATTAATATTAGTGTCAGTTTTGTATTAATTTATGGATCAAGCATAAAGAGTTGAGGAAGAAGAGGAAAGTAAGCAAAAGAAGGAGAGAATGTATTAATGGTAGAGATTTTAACTTAGAATGTGTCGAGGTGTCTGTGTGTGGGTTTTTATGACCTTTACAATTTTCATGAATGAGCATTTATTGCAGAATCTCACAGTCTGATTCCAGAACCATATAATGTGATGAAATTTTACTTCTCAGTAGACATTTGACTATAGCAAAATAATAAAGAGATTGGGGTTATATTGAGGTAACATTTGACATAATCTCAAAAAAAAATCTTAAAAATTGCATACATTTTTGAAATAGAAAAAAGCATTTAAAATGCAATCTAAAGTAGTTTTTACAAAGTACCTTACTCTTGTTCTAGACGCAAATATTAAATTCACACTTTCATTATATACATCAACATTTATGGAATGCCCACATGTCCTTAGAAGTAAGTATGTTACTAGGGACACAGTGCTTAAAAAAGTAAAATTTCAAAATCTATTCAGAGCTGTGAAGAAATAATCATCAGCTACAGTTGGAACAGTAAGCGAAAAAGCTCATCCGGTTGATACCTAAAATAGAACTAAATGATATGGTGACTATATATGGATTACATGTCTACCAAGCAAATGGTCAGATTAAGGAAAATTAAGAACTACCATAAAAATCTGACTACAAACAGTGGCTACCAGAGTGGGTGGGGGGAGGGGAGAGAGCACCGTGAGGAGGGGTCAGTGGACTGAGGCCAGGACTGTGCGTGTCGGCGGTGAGCATAGTGTGGTAAGGACCGCTGCAGGGGCATCCTGTGTTTTTAAGTACAACTATGTAAAACAATGTTACCTCAAAAAATTAATAAGCAAACAAATAAATGCCATCAATTGCAGGTTAATGAAGGACTTCTAAAACACTCCTAAGTAGCTGATGTAAATAGATCCCTGATATGTTGAAATGCTCGGTTTTCTAAAAGATACGTCAGTTACACAGCGTGCCCACTTTTTGTTCAAACTAAGTGAAAGATAAAGCCTCCTGCCGCAGTAAAACAGCAGGTCTCCCCCTCGCCGCGGAGGGCGGCACATTTCCAAGCTAACAAGACTCTTAGTATCGCAGGAGGTCTACTTCTGGTATCCAGGGGAAATGTGTTTCCTTAAACTGGTGATGAGGACAGGCGCTCGGTCTGGAGAGGCCGGGACGGTGGTTGCTTCTGTGCCAAAGCGGTGGCTGAGGCAAAGGGCCGCTGTCGGCTCAGATCCAGACGGGAGAGACCGTGTTCCAGCCCCAGGTGTTTCTGTTTCTGACAGGTGTCAGGAGG